ATGTAGTGCCTGACCTTGATTTGATCTTGAATTAAGCAATCCCTGCCATTAAAACATTTTAGGCACATCTGTATATACACATATATACAGGCACATATACAATCTGTATATGAACTCTTAAATGATATGGAATGTGTAATTTCCTTAGGTGTGATAATAGATTTGTGCTTATATAGAAAATCCCTTTTTTCTTAGGAGATGTCATGCTCTAATATCTAGGGATGAAGTATTATAAATGGTTAGGCAAAATAGGTGTGTATGTATGATAGTGCAAATGTGCCAGGAAAACTGGTAAGTCACTTAAAGGTAGATGAGTGCATATTGTTTGAAACTTCAGGAGACTTGAAAATTTTCAAAATAAAATGAATGAAGGGTGGGACAAAAAGCATGAATCCAGAGAACAGTTAAGAAGATCATTGCTCCAGATGTCCTCAGGACTTTGGAATGAGATCAAAGTATAAGGCCAATGTAAGTGTGAGGTCAGAATGAGGTGTTTTTCTAAAACCTGGGTCCTCAAAATATGATACAGTCAATGAAAGAATGAACCAGAATAGCCTACTGAAGAGGAAACTACATACAGGGAAGAAAATAAGTCTTCCCTAAGAATTTGTACCCACAAGCCAACACTGACTCATATTATTTATCCAGTCATAGAAATTAAAGTTCAGGTTAGAGGTGATTGCAGCCACTTAACAGAATTAATGTTAATACTCTTAACGAAAACCACTTGAGACCCAATCTCCAATAATGTTCACAGGTAATGTGCCAATAGTCTTGGATTCATTCACAATGGCAAAAATGAGAAGTTTTCTTAAAATTGGGAGAAACAGCGGATTTTGACCCATAATGACCATATTGGATGAGTGTTTGAAGACTTTTTTTTTTTTTTAAATTAACATGTCTAAAATTGGGACGGCATTGTAGTATATTTTGGTTATGTTAGTGGTAAAAAGAAAAAAAATGGCATACCCTTCAATATTTGATGGCTTATATTCATTGAAATCCAATACCGGAAATAGAGCATCAACAATTTGAGAAGGAATAAGAGTATTAAAAATGGTGGAGGTGCAGGATAACAAGAGTTCATGGAAAGAAAAATAACTAGTCAGACCTAGACCTAAAATATTTAGAAATAAAAATTAGATGACCCCCTCCCTCCCCAGCCTTCCCCGCGAGCGGACGCGGCATCGCCTCTGTCTCGCTTTTTTCTTATTTTTCTCCCCCCTTTCCCCTTCCTTTTTTTTTTTTTTTTTTTCATTTTCCCCCCTTCCCCCCCTTTCACCATTTCCCCTCGGAGGCGCTTCCCCTGGGCAGGGGCAGAGCCGGTCTCACCCCCCGCCTCTCCCCGGCCCCCGCCGCCCTATGGCGAGAGGGAACCCCCTCCCCACCCGGGCACAAGCGGCGGCAGTTGGAGGAGCGGGACCGGCGGCGGCGGCCTCAGGTCCGGGGGCGTCATGGAACTAATTCGCTGACCAACCCACCGGCTGCAGCCGTGCGTCCCGCTCGAGCGCCAGCGCCCGCGCCCTCCGACCCGCTTCCCCCTCTTCTCCCTCCTCAGTCGGCCCGGTCCTGGTCCCGCGCGTCTCGTCGCCGCGCGCAGAGGAAAATGTAGCTACATCAAGCTGGGTGGCAGGCAGAGCCATAGGATATCATGAAGTTTCCAGGGCCTTTGGAAAACCAGAGATTGTCTTTCCTGTTGGAAAAGGCAATCTCTAGGGAAGCCCAGATGTGGAAAGTGAATGTGCCGAAAATACCTACAAATCAGAATGTTTCTCCATCCCAGAGAGATGAAGTGATTCAGTGGTTGGCCAAACTCAAGTACCAATTCAACCTTTACCCAGAAACATTTGCTCTGGCTAGCAGTCTTTTGGACAGGTTCTTAGCTACTGTAAAGGCCCACCCAAAATACCTGAGTTGTATTGCAATCAGCTGTTTTTTCCTGGCTGCCAAGACTGTTGAGGAAGACGAGAGAATCCCAGTACTGAAGGTGTTGGCAAGAGACAGTTTCTGTGGCTGTTCTTCATCTGAAATTCTGCGGATGGAGAGAATTATTCTGGATAAGTTGAATTGGGATCTTCACACAGCCACACCATTGGATTTTCTTCACATTTTCCATGCCATTGCAGTGTCAACTAGGCCTCAGTTACTTTTTAGTTTGCCCAGTCTGAGTCCATCTCAACATTTGGCATTCCTTACCAAGCAGTTACTTCACTGTATGGCCTGCAGCCAACTTCTGCAGTTCAAAGGATCCATGCTTGCCCTGGCGATGGTTAGTCTGGAAATGGAGAAACTCATTCCTGATTGGCTTCCTCTTACAATTGAACTGCTTCAGAAAGCACAGGTTGTTGTTGTTTAGTCACTAAGTCGTGTTCAGCTTTGTGACCCCATGGATTGCAGCACCAGGCTTTCCTGTCCTTCACTGTCTCCCGGAGTTTGCTCAGAATTCATGTCCACTGAGTCGGTGATGCAGTCTAACCATCTAACCTTCTAGGTTGCTGAAAATCTTAATCTTAAAAGGTTACTAAGATTCTTGCTAATATATTCTCCACTGCGTTTGTATGAAGAACCTTCCTAGCTATTAGGTTTCATTACAGTACTTCTGTAGTTTACTCGTTTTTTAAAAAAGATAAGGCAAAAACATAAACTGCAAGAAGTTGCTTTTTAGACAAGCAGATAATTTATTGTTGGCTAGAAAAGGAAATATTTGGCAAATATAAAGTATATTCCTGAAGTTCTAGGACTTTCTGAAGTAGTTGCCTAAGGTTGGTGAGTAGCTTTATCTGCAAATTGATATAAAATGTTTGAGGTTAGTTAGAATTTTATCAACTATCTATATAAAAACTAAAAATTTAGTGGAGAAAATTATCATTCAAATGAAAATTTGAAATTCAAATGAAAAGTTAGTAATGGTTACTCTGTTAGCAACTATTTGGAGAGGATCCTTACTGGTTCTGTTCATGTCACTAAATGGAACCTACGAGTTTGGATCTGCTGCAAACCATACCCCTTAGCCAACTGAGTCCATAATAAGACTTATGAGCATAGTTTCCCTTTTATATGTCCCTGTTTATTCCCATTTGGCAATACTTATTTCGATTTATTAAATTTTATTTAGAGAAGAGGCTGCTAAATTCTGAGCTTAAAAATGTTATGTAATATAAAACCAACTTCAGCAAACAGCTGCAATCTTTGAGCTGATAAAACTTATTAAAGAATTCCATAAAAGAAAAATGAGAATAATATTTGAATTTGGTATTTTGTAAGACAGTTATAGTTGATAGATACAAGCCATAAAAGCTAACAGACAAAAAAAAAAGCAGATATATAAAACATATTTCAGGGCAGCATCTCAGCTCTGAGAATTTCATGCTTTCATTTGTGAGCAGAGAAGGGCTGTCTTTTCATAAAAAGAATGATGATGGTGGTTAGAGCAATATATCAACTATGTGTTTTATTCTGTTTTAGAATAGCTCAGTTTTCCTTCCCTGGACACATGATGTTAGTGTAACACAGGCTATTTCTCCTTACAAGGAGATACCTTCTTTTACTTGCATATGTTAGATTGAAATAATTGAGAAATGTTTTTTTCTATTGAAAATAATGCTACAGTGAAAATAAACCCTGGGAGATAGTTGCTATTTAGTGAGAATTTTTAGAAACTAACATCAAAAACTACCACTTAAGTGAATAGTGTGACACAGAGCACTTACTCTGCCTCCCTTGAGTGTTGGGAAAGGAAGTTAAATGTTAATCATTTACATTAGACTGTGGAAGTGGGGAAGGGACATTAAGAGAAACTCCTACATTTTCCATCTTTACTGGAATGAAGGACATATCTCTAAATGCCTCCATGACTCTGTACTGTTTCCAAGTTAGTGCAGAGAAGATTTGCTATATGAAGAGTTACTAGCATTGAGAAAGGACAAGCTTTGAACTGTAAATAATAAGAATATTGTAAATAGCATGTATATTCTGTAGCTTTGATGGCTTGTTCTCTATTGAAGAACAGTAGAGAATCTGCTTATTCTCTATTATAAGCCTTCTGGTGCTGAAAGAAAGTGTTCACCAAACTGTTCTCCCCAGGTATTATTATAAGCTTGGAATTTGAAGGAACCTTCTTAAAAATCAGATCATTCAGCTCCTTTATCTTATAGCTGCAGCCCAAAGAACTTGGGACTTTCTCAGAGACACACAAAACTTAGTAGTAAAGAAAACTGGAAGAACCCCAGTGCTTTATCCATACCATAAAAATCTTGAAGATTGCAGTCCAGTGGTTTTCAGAGTTTTCTTTAGAAATAGAACTCTTCCTCACTCCCCTCCCCCCAAATCTTGTACACACACAATCCCAAAATCCTAGGTAGTAAACTGTTACTTTGTAATATGTGTTTGGGGCAGAAGCCTATCAGATGCAGTCCTATTCAACATGGCCTCTTCCCCTTTCATAAGCTGATTGGACATAGTTTGAAAACAACTGTTCCAGTCTCTTATATATGTATATAGTTATGTTACATTTATTGAGAAATCTATGGTCAAGGCATTGGGGCTACAGTGATTCCAGAAAAAGTCTCTGCTCCATGTAGTAATCAAGTTATAATGAGGAAGACAGTTAAAAACACAGGTAAGATCACAGAACTTCGGAGAGTTTGAGACCTGGTCTTAGCAATTCTCTGAAATCCTAGTGGCCCAAATCTGTGCTTAGTTGCTCAGTTGTCTCCAGCTCTTTGCAACCACATGGACTGTAGCCTGCCAGGCTCCTCTGTCCATGGGATTCTCCAGGCAAGAATCCTGGAGTGGGCAGTCATTGCCTTCTCCAGGCCCAAATATGAGTGGCTCTTTATTCTTTAAGACTCAGTTATCTTTGCTAAGTTCACCTCTGTTCACATAGGAACACCAAGTCTAGTATCTTTGTAATTAGACCTGTGACAAAGCCATAGTAGTATCAGATACTCCTCCTGGATTTCTGGTTGTTGTATAGGAAGTTCTTGCATCAGATTGGCAAGATGGTGCCAGAATTACTTCTGACGTGTTTCCCAGTGTCGTGGTTTGAGAGGACTGCTGTTGGTCCATCACAGGCATCCATGCTGTCAGGGGGCCCATTGTCACCAGCTCTGCCTATGTCCCCTCTGGACTTCAGACACAGTACAGGGAGTGTTTCCTGGCTTGAAAGGCAAGCTTTCTCCTGTCTCTTCCGGTCCCCTCGTCCCACGCTACTGCCTCCATCACCACCCTTCTTCTCTCTTGTGCTGCCTATTGGTCATCATTCTGAGCTGGCTAACCCTTTCTTCTTACTCCTCTCATTGCTCTGCTTCTGTGGCTGTACTCATGTTCTCCTCTTTCTGATTGATGTAGTCTGCCTTTTATCTCAGGATGTTAAATCTCCCCAGATAGCATGGTGGTCTTCCTGTCCCTAAGCAAGTTCCCTAGTCAAAGTATACGTTTACCTCTGTGGTGCAGTATAAGAGTATGGAGTTCAAGAAGCAGACCCTCCCCACCAGGGTCTTCTAGTCCTTCTTGAAGGTGCCTTGAGTCTGACTCCTTATTGTACTAGGTATTTACAGGGCTTTATGCTATCCACTGAACCTAATGGGTCCATCTGAATCAGTTATATCATGCTATTTTGATCCCCCTTTTCCCATCAGTAACCTGTTCGGATGTCTGCTCTGTAAACGTTCAAGGCTATTTGCCTTACCTCCTTGGTGAGCTGAATTACAGTTCTGTTTTTTTTTCTAGCAAGGGATACTTTAAAATAGTTACCATATTTGAATTGGGGGAGATGGTCCTCTTGAAAAATAACAATAAATGTTCTCTTGACACTCTGCAAAAAAAAAAAAAAAAAAATTAGATGAAAGACCAAGATGAAATTATACAGAATGCAGTATATTACAGAGTATATGAAGGAGAGGTTAAAGGACATCGAGAATATATGGAGAAGGTCAAGGAACATCTAATAAAGTATGAGATGAAGATGATAGGATACTTATGGATACTTGAGGGCATTTTGCTAAGAATTTGCCAAATTTGAAGTAAAAACATCTTCAAATTGGTGGCGTCTGGGGAAAAAAATCATTATCTAGATCTACTAAGTTGGTAGAAGACAGACAAAAAGTGAGAAGTCCGAGTAATACTCTTACAAAGCAAAACCACCAAAATAGAAGGTCTTAAAAGAGAGAAGAGCTCTCTTGAAAGTAACAGTAGTCTTTACAGTTGTTTAAGAATAACAATGAAAACCAGAAGACAGTGGAATAATATTTTAGATATTGAGAGGAAACTGTTAGGCCAGAATTTTGTACCCAAAACTATCAAAAAAGGCAAGCACGTTTTGGCTGAAAGAGTTTAAAAGGAAATGGCAACCCACTCCAGTATTCTTGCCTGGAGAATCCCATGGACGGAGGAGCCTGGTGGGCTACAGTCCATGGGGTCTCAAAGAGTCGGATATGACTGAGCGACTTCACTTTCACACCAATATGTCTGTCTACGTTAAATGAATGTGAGGGTTTACTCCAAGAAAAGCAGAAACAAAAATCTAAGACATAGTAAGGAATGGTGACCAAAGAAAATGTTTAATGAGGGTAAACTTTATAAAACAATAATGTCAGTTTTGCAAGTTAAAAAAAAGGCTGAATGATGCATGGCAACAGCATTTCCACTTCCTGGAAACTGGAAAAAACGTATAACACCCTTGAAGGTGGTCCTGTGTGCAAACAGCAGATGAAGAAACATCTCTTCAAGAAAACATGTGAAAATTCTGTTGGTTCAACCGCTAACGGGTTCTAAACATTCCACAACTCCCTCCTCTCCCTTGTAACCTCTGTGACATAGAGACTTCAGATTGCTGCAGCCCAAAACACAGGCTTCCTCAACTCCCAGTTGGAAGGCTCTTTTCCTAGGAAAAGCAGGACATCTGTCTCACCCTGCCCCCAGCTACCTGTTGTTGGTGCCAAGTCTTGAGTGTGGTTAGAAGTGGGAGCACTCTTCTATTCAGCCTCCACTCAGAAAGGAGGCCTCACCTTGAATGTGGCATGCTTAAAATAGTGAGACACTGATCACCTTTGCCCTGTCTCATGAAGTGGTGGTTCCATGCCAGGAGAGGCAAACCAAGACCTCAGACTGCTTTCCCACCTCCTCCGCTGAGCTTCTAGGGGTATCACACTCAGAAATTTGACATTGTCCAAGCTTGGGCTTAAAAGATGTTGCCTTGAAGGAGAAGCAGTTTATGAAACCAATATCTCCTTTTCTTTTGTGAAAGAAGTGACTTCATTTTTCAACAGAGCATTTATAACTTCATACCTGAGGGCACAACACCAGTTGTTCAGTCGTCAAGTTGTGTCTAACTCTTCATGACGCTATGCACTACAGCATACCAGGCTTCCCTGTCCCTCACAATCTCCTGGAGTATGTCCAAGTTCATGTCCATTGAATTGGTAATGCCTTCTAAATGTCTCATCCTCTGTTGTCCTCTTCTCCTGTCTTCAATCATTCCCAGCATCAGGGTCTTTTCCAGTGAGTCAGCTGTTCGCATCAGATGGCCAAAGTATTAGGGCTTCAGTGTTAGTTCTTCCAAGGAATATTCAGGGTTGATTTCCTTTAAAATTGTCTTGTTTGACCTCCTTGCTTCCCAAGGGACTCTCAAGATTCTTCTCCATCATCACAGTTTGGAAGCACCAGTTCTTTTGTGCTCTGCCTTCTTCATTGTCCAGCTTTCATATCCATACATGACTACTGGAAAGACCATAACCTTGACTAAACAGACCTTTGTTGGTAAGGTGATGTGTTTGCTTCTAAACACAGTCTAGGTTCATCATAGCTTTCCTGCCAAGAAGCAACTGTCTTCCAATTTCATGGCTGCAGTCACCGTCCACAGTGATTGTAGAACCCAGGAAGAGGAAACACTAGAGGTTGTGACAAGAGACAACTGAGATGAAATTCAAGATACAGTCTTAAACTGTAGGTCACTAGTTTATAAGGGCTTCCCTGATAGCTCAGTTGGTAAAGAATCCGCCTGCAGTGCAGGAGACCCTGGTTCAGTTGCTGGGTCGGGAAGATCCACTGGAGAATGGAAAGGCTACCCACTCCAGTATTCTGGCCTAGAGAATTCCATGGATTGTTTAGTCCGTGGGATAGCAAAGAGTTGGACACAACTGAGCAACTTTCACTTTCAACTAGTTTATAGGGAATAAGGTAGCTTGAAGGAGCCATCCCTAGGATTATAAGGGTTTTTTTTTGTTTTTGTTTTTTTTTCCATTTAGGATTATAAGTTTTGAACAGATTTCTACCTTTAAAGATGCCAGAATACTCCAACCTGATTGGAGTATTTCTCTGCCTTTAAAGGAGCCAGAATACTCTTAATATGATTGGAGTAGTTTATAGAGCACTCTTATGCCCACAACATTGTTGAAAACAGTACATGAGTTTAATAGCTGAGCACAGTCAAGACTAAACCCCTATTAAACCCCAAGAATTTGTGATTATACCCAAAACTGTGCCTCTTGAGGTACATCGGAAGCTTAATACTAGGAGAGGGGAGGAGGTAACATTTCACTAAATTTCAGTTCAGTCACTCAGTCATGTCTGACTTGTGGCCCCATGGACTGCCAGCATGCCAGACCTCTGTCTATCACCAACTCCTGGAACTTGCTCAAAACTCATGTACATTGAGTTAGTGATGCCATCGAACCATCTCATCCTCTGTTGTCCCCTTCTCCTCCTGCCTTCAGTCTTTCCCAGCATCAGGGTCTTTTTCATTGAGTCAGTTCTTCACATCAGGTGGCCCAAAGTATTGGAGCTTCAGCTTCAGCATCAGTCCTTCCAATGAATATTCAGGACTGACGTCCTTTAGGATTGACTGGTTTGAACTTGCAGTCCAAGGGACTCTCAAGAGTCTTCTCCAACACCAAAGCATGTGTTCTTCGGCACTCAGCTTTCTTTATAGTCCAACTCTCACGTCCGTACATGCCTACTGGAAAAACTATAGCTTTGTCTAGATGGACCTTTGTTGACAAAGTAATGCCTCTACTTTTTAATATGCTGTCTAGGTTGGTGATAGCTTTTCTTCCAAGGAACAAGCATCTTTTAATTCCATGGCTTCAGTCACCATCTGCAGTGATTTTGGAGCCCAAGAAAATAAAGTTTGTCACTGTTTCCATTGTTTCCCCATCTATTTGCCATGAAGTGATGGGACCAGATGCCATGATCTTAGTTTTTTGAATGTTGAGTTTTAAGCCAGTTTTAGGACACTAAATTTCAGACAGTCACAAATAGGAATCCTTGGAGGTGAGAGAGGGGAAGGACCCATTGCTACAATGCATTATCTAAAATCTTCAGTTCCTGACAAATTGTCATGCAAAGAAACAGGGAAGTGTAACTCATACACTGGAAATAAAGCATTCAACAGAAATTGCCTGTGAGAGTGACAAGAGACACTTGAAAGTAAAACTAGAGGAAACTATGGTTAAAAAATAAATGAAGATATGATGATCATGTTACATCACATGGAGAATATCAACAGAGACATATTCAAAAGGAATGGAGGGACTTTGCTGGTGGTCCAGTGGTTAAGACTCTACAATTCCACTGCAGGGGACACAGGTTTGAACCCTGGTCAGGGAAGTTTTGAAAGCTGTGTGGTGCCACAAAAAAAAAAAAAAGGAAATTTTGGAGTTGAAAAGTACAATTTTAAAATTTCACTAGAGAGGCTCCAACTTCAAGTAAACTTGAACTGGAAGAACAAATAGATGAACTTGAAGATGGATCAATAGAAATTTTTTAAAAATGAATACAGCTTCAGAGAAATGTGGGACACAATTGAAGACTCTAACATAAGCAAGATGGGAATTTCAGAAGGAGAAGAGAGAAAGGAGAAGTAAAAATACTCAAGGAATTTCCACAAAGTACTGTAATCAGTAACTTTATAATCCAGGAAATTTAGTGAACCCAAATATGATAAAATGTTCAGAGATAGCAAATTTAAAAGTATCAAAGTTAAAGACACAGAAAATCTTGAAAGAAGCAGAACAGCCTACTTTCAAAGGAGTAAGGTTAACAATTGACTTCGCAACAGTAACATTGGAGACCAGAAGGCTGTAGATAAAATTCAAAAGGCTCAGAGGAAAAGAATGTCAACCAAGACTGCTATATCCAGCAAAGACCCCTTTCAGAAGTAAAGGTAAATTAAAGACTTTTTCAGATAAAGCAAGATGTGACAGAATTTGTTGCTAGGAGATCTGCCTTACAAAAAATTTAAAGAGGAGTTAAGGTTGAAAGCAAATGACACCATGTGATAATCTGAATCTGTTTTAGTAAAAGAGATGTTACATAACTATATGAACATAAATGCATATTTTCCTTAATTGTAAATAGCAACTGTATGGAACAATATGTATATTATATGTCATTGGACCCAGGCTGAAATATA